GATAGAAATATTGCGTGTAGCCCTCCCAGCAATATATCGGACGACAGATGCGCTGGAATCGCTCGAGCGAGTCCGTGCATCCGGCACGCGCCGACGACGCACGCGCATATATCACGTGACACCTGCCATTGTAAAGTTGTCGTCCCCGACCTTAAACTCATACATTTCCAGGAACTACAAAAGTCAAATCGAACATTGGAATGGACCAGGAGATATTCCCAGCCGCGTGCTTCTCCCCAAAGCCGCGGCTTGAGAAATAGCTTTTCCATTCACAATGATCAAATGGATTGCTAGTTGCACGTGCGGCACGTGCTTTACGTGTGTCTTCATTGCGTGAATTCCGTGCTGTAGAGGTTAAAGGGTGTCGGAAAGACGAGAAATAGGGACGATTAATGAATGGGGAAAATAAAAATTTTCTTCATATTCATAGAAACACGTGATCGCCATCTGTGGGTTTCAACCAAATATGTTACATTATTCTAAAACCCAACAGAAATGCCTCTCTTGAAACCTTGTATTTCAGGAGTGTTCAAGATGATCAAATCAGACAATATTGACACGACTTGCAAAGAGCCATTATTATTGACAATTTGATATTCATAATGAAAATGAAACATTATATTTATCGGTACCCAGCAGATCGATCTGATTTTTCAGGAACTATTACCGGTAACAAGTAGAGCGATCTGATTTTCTACAAACAAATGTCTAGTCTCATATATACGTTGCATAAGTGTTTATTCACTGTAAATCTTATTTCAACACATAGCATAAAGCAATTTTCGCGACCGACCGAGAACACACAATCAGAAAAAGAATATTCTAAAACGAGCTTTCAAAAAGGCTTTTGTAAAGAAACACCACTATTTCGCCCAAAACGCGACATCCTCAATTTAAAACCTCTAAAACCCTTCTACGCAGAACTCTTTTCAAAACATTTATTGTAATATTTCTCTAGGTGGCAATGCCTTTAAAACCAACCCTCCAGGCCAATTCAACAGCGCATCGATTCGTCCTCATGTCCAACTCTCATTCGTCTGTATCGTAGCTTTTTCACTGTGGCATTGATACGATTTAGGGCGAAATTAGAAACGATAGACTGACGTAGCCTGTCAAAACCCCTCTCCCTCAAATCCTATTACTTCACTTAGAAGTCATCAAGCGATTTGAGGAAGATTCGAGCAGTTAAAATCCGCTAATATTGTGGGCTAATCGCTGGTCGGAATCCTCTTATAGGATTCTACGGCTAAACGTCGGTTAAAGACAATAGGCAAGCAGTCGCTCTGGCTTTCGTTTCCCTACCAGTTCCGATTTTTGTACGGTTTCTTTACTCTGCTGAGCTTTTAAGGTTTGTTTCCATGGCAACCGTAGTGTTGTTTTTGCTGATCCGTTCTTCATAACAATTCTTTACAGATCCGATTTCGGAAAAGTCCTCATAGCTGTCTCCCGTCTTTCACCATATTTCTAAAAATATTACATTTACCAGCACCGTAGTCTTCTCTTGGAGAAAGAGATGTCTAACAGTTCCTATCAAGGCGTGTCTGGCAGTATCATGACACGGGAAGATTTCTTCAACTACCATACAGCTGGAATATTGCTGCCTACGCCGTGAAACAACAAACAAACAAATCGTATAACTACAACAAAATAAATAATTCTAACAGTAAATATCTGTAAAGTGCACAATTAAAAATGCTAAATTTCATTTACTGTTATCTTTCACCAGTTGGAACCCGCTCCACTCTGGTTTATATTTCTACTTTTATAGTACACTTTTCCCAATGTAAGTAGTAAACAGATATCTCACTAAAATGGTGAAAATATTTTATAGAGCCTATAAACGCGGGTTAGAGCCATCTTGCAAAAATATTTCAAAACCTCATCAATTTCCTATCTTAATTAACTCGAAAGGATTCGTTCTTCGAATTGATACCGATTAATTGCCAAAATGTTATCTACTCCACAAACCAAGCCGTGATAAAGGAAAACAATTACAGTAAACATGTCCTTGCTGAAATTGACGTATGTCAAAACCATAAAATTTCAAACCCATAAAAGAAGAATAGGCAACAAGATAGCCATAAATGTAATTTACGTAACTGTTCCAATAAAACGAAAGCTACAGAGAACATGTGGCACGTGCTGAACCTGGGGCGTCGCACGCCTCGCTGGACACAGCAGGTGTAGCTAGGGTAGGGGTTTGTTTGGGAGGGGGAGCGAGCACGGGGAAGCGTCTACCTGGCGGTATCTTCAAAAGAAACAATATCCCATATCGTCCGACTGACAACACGCCCGTACACCTGTTATGTTAACCGTACTGCGCGGCTCGACCTTATCCGATTATGAAACGAAATTACAGCCCATAGGGAAAGTGATACGACTGCCTTTGAAATATACCGTTAACAAATCCCTGTTATTCTTCTTAGTTTAAGCGCAGGTTGGTGTAATATACATGTGTATATTTCGCAGGTGGTGCCAGACCATTGTCCCTGTCAGTCTAGAGTGCAAGTCGATTTTAGAGTTCATTACGCGTCAATTTCGCCATTTCGTGATCACGGAGGTCATATTAAAGTGAATATTCTTACATGTAAAATCTAAAACTTGAACACTTTGTGTGCTTTTATATCCAATATGTAGTTAAATTGTATTGTTGTATTTCTACAAACTATATATTTATTGTTGAGATACGAAACGAACTCCGTGTAAGTTTCAAATGGAATTACGCCGTTTTTGTATTTTGATCTCAGATCTCACCTTGAACAGAATCCAAACATTTTTCAGAAACCAACTATTTACACCTGAATATCTGATGAATATGACATGTATCATTATATTCTATGATGCTCAGTTAAGTTTGATTTAGTGGCAATGAAGTGTGTGAAATATATCAATGAAATAGAGGTTATTTCCGCTGTATAGATGCTGAACGAGCAGGAAAGGTACGTAATGACGGATTTCAATGGAAAATATTTTCCCGTATTCAATCATCACAGCTAACTCAAACACCTAATTATTTTTATCAGGAATTACTTTACTTTCAATCGGCTATATTACATAAGAAAATGTAAATAAGAATTTATGTGTTGTGTCAAATATTAAAATGTATTGCGAAAAGTAAAACAATTTCAGACGAGTATTTAACTTCTAATTGTCTCATAGCGGATGAAAAAGATAACAGATAAATTGTTATGATAAACTTTGAAGAGAATGTAAATTATAGTATTCGTATTATCGGAGGGAGTCTTTAACGCCATCGTATTTCAGAAAAATATGTAGCGGATCCTTTGGAAATGTTCAACATGTATTCTCGTAGTGTTTAACTACCTAATCCACGTTATTCAATGCAATTATGATTCATATCAAACTGCAATAGTTACATTAATAATAAATATCAAGACAAACATTTCATATCTATTTTACGCGAAGTATATTCATAAATTGCCTTAATAGTAAGCTCACTATAAAGATCTTTACAAGAAACTAAAACACATATTTTTATTTAGTTATTATGATATTTTATTCATATACTACAGGGCACACACAATAAAGCTTGTGAAAAAATACTTTTAAATCATCATATATATGACAAATGAAAACATGTGTTCAATTCAATCTTAGAACGGTATGAGGAAATATTAATTGTAACTTTTACAGAACCAATTTATGAGATTTTACGGAATGTAATGGTTCTTAAGTTAAATACCAAAGTTAAACGGATTCCCTTTGATGTGATCTAGAACGCCCTTCGGGCATACCATCAGAATCTTTCGTCGTTTAAAATGGGTTGTAATTTTATGTTCAATATCACTTTTTTAATAACCTATCAAATAAAAGTACGTTTCGTCGTATCATCGAGTTGTTTTCATATCAGATTAATTTAAGGCGACTTCTCCGCAACTATTAGAGACATCGTCATGTCCTTCAGGGTCAAATTAAAGAGTTAATGGGCTGTTTTATGACTGTTTACAGAGCTACGATTAATTCTGGAACGAGATATCAAGTCAAAAGAAATGTCGTCATTATATAAGTATACTACGGTGAAACAAAAATGTTGACTCCGTAGTTCAACTATTATCACTACAGAGCTGTATCGTCATTTCGTATGTGAAATTCATACAGTTTTAGACAATACGAGAATATGGCCTATATATGTATATACACAACGCATTATAAACTAGACACCATTAAGTCGCACAGTATGCACGGATCTAATACAGTCCTATTAACTAAGTATCCAAGATAGAACAATCTCGTATAGTTCTCATTCAATATGAATGAATATTTCAGTTCCCAACACTAAGTGAGAATGATTGAAAACAAAAATGAACTCTCAAATAATTATAACTGACAGTGAAAGGACGAAAATATTATCACCAGAAACGAGGTTGAACGAGGTCTGAAGCATGTAAACATGATGACAAGTGTTGAAAGTTAAGAACTTACTAAAGTTCGCGCCAGGTTAGGTACTCCAAATGTGGAATGTCCTCCCGATCCAAACTGTTCTCCCCAGTTTCAAAATAACGACTGATGGAATTGGGACATTCCCCGAATTGAAACAAGCATCCCCGGTGACTATTAGTCTGCTTACATATACTTAAAGTCCTCCTATTAATTTGGCAACGACCAAAATAATCAAACACAATCGAAGTTATCTTCAAATTTATGGAACTAGATTGAGGGGCGATCCTGTTATTTGCGACATGGCCGAGCGTAATATTGAATTTCGGTCCCTAGATCAAATCAGTAAAATAAATGAGGTCGGGGAATGCGCAAATCAAATCTTCCTGGCTCATGAACTTTTAATACAAAATATTATTCGACTGTTTGCACTCCAAAGTAATTACATCGGAACAATCAAGCTAATAGCCCGACGCTAGCACACAGCCAAAAACGAACTGCGCTCTCAGAATCAATTAATTTAGCTCTCGTTCTGTAATGCAAATTTTCATAATAGTGTATAACTGTTTGTGACATGTATGAGCTAAAGACTAAAAGTTTACCTTCTAGAAACTTGTTTCGACTGATCATGTCCGCGAGTGTCGATGGTGGAGGACTCAAAGATGGGCTGCACGAATGAATTCGAGTATGCTGTGGACTTAGATCCGTATGTGCCATTTCTGTGAACACTGAATTCTCCACGATGGTCGACTTTTCGAGGTCGGTAGTCAAGAATTTTGGTATTTGGAAGCTAACTCAATTCTTAATAGCCTATGTCATACTCGCTTCATCCAACCGGTTGGGATATCTTGCTCTGGCGTGTCACGTGACCCAATTAATTAATATTCATGACCCTGCGATCGATCTTCGCCGGCTAACAATAGCTTTGCTTCCCCTAAACACACCTCCTTGCGGGGAAAACATTCAACTGCTAATGTCACCAGTCCGTCAAAGCTATTTCAATGCAAGCTGAGGCCCCTCCTTGCGCGCAATTCGCGAGCCGCGCACGTGCCCGGCAGACGTCAGAACCGGTCGTGTTCTCGAGCAGACGACACTACCCGGGTTTCCAGCAGACGACACCGCAGAAGTGTCTGTGTACATTGTCAACGAACAGTTTTGTCGGAAGTTGTCTAAATTTGATAGCGTGTTTGCTACACAAATATTTTCAGCGACTATCAAAGAAAGTAAGAGTGATGCGCCTGGGTGTATTCGATGCGTCAACAGGGTTGCACCAGCATACAAATGTCCTTTAATTACCCTTGATCGCGAGGCTGTTTGATGGTCAACATTCGCGGACACATCCAGCGACAGAATCTCTTCACTTCTAAACCTCCCAGGTACGGGATTTGAGTGTAAACAAACCGTGCAGGGAAGAGCTACTCATGTGAAACCAAACAACTCAAATCGCTATCATTTTATCCGACGCGCTTCACCGACCCTTCGTTCCCAATAGCTGTTTCATAAAGTACTCGCGTGCTGCGGATACGTTTGGACAGATTTAGGACAGATTTTGAGCAGCGATCCACGACTATATGTTCTGAGGACATAACAGGCTGCCTTTGTTTCCAGAAGTAAATGATATAAACCGTTATGTCAGAAATCGACTTTTGTATTAGCAGCGGTCGGATTTTTACGAGAGAAACCCGACATAAACAACAAAGAAGTAGCAAAACAGCTCTAAAACAGTTTAAAGGGGACGGATTTCTATGCCATATGTTGGGTGGTGGGGAGAACATTACTAGTTTCAGCTATTAAATGTGACGATTTTATCATAAATTTGCATAAGACAAAAGGCCTTGTTTGATAACGTCGATAAATGGAATTTAGCAGATATTTAATTACACTTCGGTGATATATACTCATGCCAATAATGGTTGTCAAAACCCTCCCCACCCCAACCCCACACACCCACACCCCTCTCCAATAAAAAAAGTGAAGGGGGTGACAACCATTATTGGCATGAGTATACATTAGACTGCACATTGAAAGTGTGAGCTGAAAAATATTTGTTTGAGGATCATCATCATCATCATCATCATCATCATAATCATCATCATCGTCGTCGTCGATGTTGTTATGAATATTATTTTCGAGCATATTATTGTTATTGTTGATGTTATATTCGCTATTTTCACGATCACCACTTCTTTTAGGCAATGTTTAATAGGAGTATTTCGGAAGTTTGTGTTCACAGGGACAGTCTGTGTCCCTCTATACTGTGTTGGATAATCAACCTATAAATATCAAATCGAAATGATTAAGTGGTGCATTTTTCATTTTGGATTTCCTTTAAAATTGCTTGTAATTCTATGTGCAGTAACAGACGTTTTCGAAATATATATCATGCAATTATAATTTTCAGATCCTACTTAATATAATAACAATATTTGTTTTAATAGCATAATATTATGCGTTATACATATATTCAACTAATGGTGTACAGAGAGGCTTACCACGAATTTATAATTTCTGTTTCTGTTTCAGAATGTATCTATCGAGTAATTCGTAGTTCGTTACAAGCGGACTACTGATAAAAACAAAGCCTTCATAAGCATTATATTTCTAAAACTGGGACACGCTGTCTCACGCAATATATCAAATGACGTTTGACAAAACGAGATTACATTAGTTTTGGAAAAGATTATTTTTTATCATAAACAGCTACAAACTTTTGTGTGAGCGGTGATGGGTGTTGCACTGGTCGACTGAATGCAGCGACCTGTAAAATTTCGGGTCTGTAAGAAAACGAATGGTTGATAGCAAGAGCGACAATGAGTGACGATCATTACTATAGCCATTTTGCTATTACACTGGTACCAAATATCCCCGTAATGTTTCAGCGTAAAGAACAGGTCCCGAGTAGCCTACGTTTGCTGAATTAGGCGACTAAATTGATCAGACTGCAGGTGTATCGTGGGATTTAGGATTATGATACGCCCCAAAAGGATTAAGGATTATCACAGGTCCGCCGTGAACTATTTTGTCGGGAGTCACTAAATGGAACAATTGTTTAGTCTCCATGACTTGGTTGACTGCACGTCATCGTACCCTTACGGTGTGAGACCTTGGTCATAATATCAATCACCGGTTTGTTTGGTCCAGACTCGACTGTTTGCAAGTTGTCCCTAAACATTGGAAATATTGCATTCTGTAGCATTTTATAAAAAAAACCCATATCAAATGCATTATTTTAGCAATGTAGCTCTAAATCATATAAAGATTATATAAAAAAGAATATTGTCCTCAGCGCGGCCATGTATTGCAGATCTATATCTTTATCGACAAATACATTATTTCCATTAAAAACTAAATTGCCTGAATATAAACTGATTTACCGTTAGTCGCTCCACTGATAATGAATAAAAGAGATACATTAACACACGCAAGGCGTCCAAGGCAATGAGTTGTTTGTTTGTTTACATAAGCCATGCGTGAGTGATCCACGAGTGAAAGGATCGGAGGGTCAAGCTCACTGACTTTCTACATTGTCAGTCATCACACCCCGATGGCCTGGACAGCTGCTCATGGTATCAACCACTTGGTTGTCATGAGATCTCGTGCATTTTGCTAACAACAATAACAAAGAACAGCCTAGCAGCCATCACCCCTACCCCCACCCCACCCTAGCAGCCATCACGTCCTAGCAGGATTCCCCTGATGCTGAAGCTGCGTATATCATCTCACATGTCCATCCGAACATCGCTGATTAAATGACACGGCCGTTTCATTTGGATATATCGTCTATGAACGACTTTTATAATGATTACTATGAGAAATATAATCCACATACACAAACCGTGGTTACAGTTGCGCACTGTGAATAGGAACCAACATACTACACGTACAAGAAAACATAGAATTCATGTGACAACTTTTGTTCAGTTGCTGGGTTATTTTGAGTTACGTGTATTTTGTTTGTGCTGTGTTTGTTTTGTTTTTGTTTTGTTTTTTATGTTTTCTTTCTTTGGAAGTTTGTTTTGGTTTCCATCTGGAGGTTTTTGGGGAGGGGTGTCTTGTTTTCTATTTGCGTTTTTTCAAGGTTTTGGATTCTGTTGTATTTTGAATAGTTTTCTTATTATCTATTCCAAATCTGGAGACATGTATATTGGCCAACAACAGGGTAAGCAGTTCGAGGGAGTGAAAATGGTTTTATGCCGCTTGTTGGCAGTATCAGGGTTGAGGGCACCGAAGAGGTATTTATACGATGTACCCATGAGGGAAATAGATGCAGGGTGTAACAAACGAGTGCTTTAAGTGCTGGAGTACACCACCGCCCCTGGCATTAACAGAGTGACAATGTGGCTTGTGTTTGTGTGTTTGTTTGTGTTAGTGTGAGCGTGTCTTTGTGTGTTTATGTATGTGTGCTGGCGATTAGGTGCCTGACTTTGAGGGTGTGTACAAGAATCTGTAATTACTAAGAAAGTGTTATCCCAAATATAACATATGTTACATTTGACGACTTTCTAAATGGCATTGTGTAATCGTATGTGTGTTTGTTTGAGTGAGTATACGTTTGTGCACGTGTGCGTATCCGTTTGCGTTTGTGAGTGTGTGTGTCTATGAGTGTGTTTGTTTGTGTTTTGTTTGTTTTTGCATTTGTTTTTTTATGTTTTGGGGGATTGTTTTGGGGGGTGGGGGTGTATGTGTTTTTATGTGTGTGTGTGTGCATTGTTTTGGTGTGTATATGTGTGTCTGTGTGTGCGTGCGTTCATATGTGTGTGTGCGTGCGTGCATGTGTGTGTTTTATGTGTGTGTTAGGATTGGGTGTAAATAGGTTGGGATAGGAGCGGGCAAGATGGAGGAAAGCGTCTGTATATTCGGGACATCTAACTGAAAACTATGGCGACGGCTGCTAAATAACCGTAGTCATCAGTGATCCAACTATCTACTGTAAGACTGACTGACAGAGTTTAGTTTTACGCCGCTTTTAGCAATATTCCAGCAACATCACGGCGGGGGATACCAGAAATGGGCTTCACACATTGTGCCCATGTGGGGAATCGAACCCGGGTTTTCGGCGTGACGAGCCAACGCTTTAACCGCTAGGCTACCCCACCGCCCTCTAAGAGGATAGAAGTGAAGGAAATACCCTAAATAACAAATGATAACACATTACCCTTCTCGCAAAATAACGGCACATTTCAGGACACTTCTCCACACCTAAACCCTTGTGGAGTCCTTGCTTAAAAAGTGGTTTAAAAAACAAAATTGAATATTATATAAATTTACATTTAAAATATAGTATTAAAGATGGCGCTGGACATAACCACAAGCCATCTGATACAAAACATTAAAATGTTATTAATCCTTTTAAAGTGTTTAATAAACTAGAGTGAGTGAGTGCGGTTTTACGCCCCATTTAGCAATAATCCAGCACTATCACTGCGGGGGAAACCAGAAATGAGCCTCACGCATTGTACCCAGATAGAATATCGATAAGGGTAATGGCGCCATATTCTATCTACAAATATGAAAAAGGTTCTTGAAGAAAAATGATTGAAATAAAGGGGAAATTCCAAAATATCATTTCAGTTGAACCTGGACCATGACTGTACAAGTGATCTCAGACCCACGTCCGCTTTATATTAGGTCCATGTAAACATACGCCATCACATCATCAAAACGAAAATAGATTGCTCGCCCGACCTGTGGTTTGTGTGGCACAGAACTGAACAGTTCCTCGATCTGGGCTCCGTTCAACAGAGCCATCTTGGCACTGCGACATACTATGATAGAGCATTGGTAAACCCCACCACTAACACCGATAGTGGAGCGCGCTCCTAACATTATATTCATAACTGATTCTCCGTCTCGAGAAGGTTCCGACTGCAATTGGTCTTGAGCAAACCGTGTTTGACTTATGACGGGATCGGGAGGTCAGGCTCGCCGACTTGGTATATTCTTGTCCACATACTGTTATTTTCAGA